TTTTATATCTTTTTACATTAGAAAAACTTGTTCACATAAAACTGGAAATAGAATCTCTACCATCAGAAGAAATTTTTTTAGTACCTTTAAGCCACTTTGCTTGTTCTGAAGTTTCTAAAGTAGCATTGAGTTACATTAAATTTACTTATATATTATCATATATATCTGAAATTAAGCTTTGAAAATTTTTAAGACTATTGCTATTTAATTATCTAATGTCATTTTTATGAGCCAGACCAACGTTTTAATTAAATTGTTTTTTTTTTTTTCAGGTTACCCAGTTCAAAATTGAAACTCTTTAATTTTTTTTTTATTCCAAGTATTTAAGTTTTCTAGCATGAACTATCTGAAATCAAACTAAACAATTGCTTAAACCCAACTTTTAACTGCAAGATAGTGCAATGCTTTAGAACTATTGGTGTAAAATCAAGGGTCTCAGTGTGACTGGCTTTACTGCATTCAGTGTTCCTTCTTTTTAAGTAAACAGAGGTGGTGTAATCCTTAAGATGTAGATAAGGACCCAGGGAATTCCCCAGAGCTAAATGGCTCTGGCAGCTGCTGGGAGTCCCTTAATCTTATCTTTTATCTATAGGATTAGTTCCTCCAGTTTGGTTTGACCTTAGGCATTAGGCATTTTTGTTTTTCTAACTTTTTAGTAGCCAGCTCCCAAAAAGTTTATCCTCTGCTTGCAGTTGTTTCGAGTGCTAGGCTTCCCCAAGAAAGCAGAGTGGGGACTCCTTAAAAGTCCCTTTGAGAGTGTCAAAATTTGTGACTGAAAATTTGGTTCTCATCTCTAAAGTACAGATATGAATCGGACAGGACATAAAACACAAAGAACGCTGCGCGGCTTCGGCACAAACCGAAAGAATCAGATGGCCTGGGAGAAACTGCTTTTCCGTCGCCTACAAAACAGATAGCCTGGGAAAAACTGCTTCTCCGTCGCCTACAAAAACGGTGTATCCCTCAGAAACACCGGGGGCCCCAAAGAAATGGACCCCTCTGATCCCTGGGACGTCTCCCAGGGTGGCAGGGGTGAAGTCTGAGTTCGTCAACTCCTTCCCCGCCTGCCTCAGAAAGCTGAGTGATCACAGAATTACTTCAGAATCGGAATACCAATGACTATGCCTAGTCTTTCAGACGCTGCGCGAAACAGAGAACAGATAGCCAATAGGACAATAGGTTAGACATAGACAGCTCGAGCTGGCCAGCTTACCTCCCAGTGATGTCGAGTGTTCTCCGGATAGGGATCGGGATCGGAACCGGGATCGGGAATCTCGGTGGAACCTCCAAAATGAAAGATCCACAGATCCCAAACCCGGAACGAACCACACGAGACACTGGCTGCAAAAAGCAGGAGGCGTTTATTGTCACACAGGCGCCTGCGGGTGCTCAGCGAAACCTCAGCCGGAGCTTCGGTGAACTGGCACACCGGGCTTTGGGATACAGATCTTTTATAGGGTACAAGTGGGTTAGTTCTTAGCTTAGCACAGCAACAGCCCTTCTATTGGTTCCTCTGAATCCAGCAGGGGGGTCACCTAGTGGGTAAACTTGTTTTTCGACTTTTTGTTCTTGGAAAAACCCTAAAGTTACACCTTGCCCTTCTTGGTTCCTGTTTTTAAACTTAGTTCTCAAGTTTAGCTGGTAGGGCTGTCTGAAAGGAACATTTTGTGGTAGGGGGCCTGTTAGGGTTATCTACATAGAACATCTTGTGGTAACTTTGTGCAACACTTGAAATGCTATGGGCAGCTGGTGGGGCTTTGACATGGGATTTGGGTAAGAAAGCATCCTGCAGCTTCAAGGCATAGGGGCTGGATTTCCTAATGTGGGGCCTGGGTCCTTGAGGTCCTTCA